GCTCTACCACTTGAGCTACAGCGCCACTTCCGGTTTTCTAGTGGCTTATTGGAGATAGGAGTCTCACGGTCTTTCCTGCCCTTGCTGCCTTTGAACCACGATTCTCAGATCTCAGCCTCCTGAGTAGCTAGGATTACAGGTGTGAGCCACCGGTGCCCGGCTAGGTAAAAATTATATTATCAAGCATTGTTACCCCCTCCTTTATTTTTGCCCTATATTTCATTTCTCTTAAATATAATCTTAATTTAATTTTCAGTCTGAAGATCTCATTACATGTCGATTGATGGTCCCAAATTTTTCAAGCCAGGCAGCCTACCTATATACTGAAAATACAGTTTATATATGCTCTACAGGGACTGGGAAGTCCTCTCTCCCCCCAGAGAAAATTGTCTTCACTGCACAAGGTATTGTAGCCACTTTTCAGAGGCATGATTGGTAGTCATTCCTGTTTGTTTTGTTATCTTTCCATAGGCATTGCTTTAGGCCTGCTTCTTTTTAAGTGTCATGGTGATATTTAATACCAGGGTACAACTGTTGACATCACAGCCCATCTGAAAACCAAAGGGAAAAAGGTTCCCAAACCTTTACATTTATGGGCAAAATAGTAACATTTTTCCCAGGGTAAGTGACCAAGAAGAAAAGAAATGACACTGAAAGAAGTAATGATTTATCCTAGTTGGTGAGGTTGACTTTCTCCTCACCTACGTGGTCTAGACCCCTAGCAAGGAAAATCCCAGATGCCTGGACCTGGAGCTGGGGATAGTTCAGACAAATCCAGCAGATGTTCTGCTCAGAGGGGCTATGCAGAGGGCAATGCAGGTGTGGGCACAGAATGAAGCCCATGGAGTCTGATTCTTGCATGGGTCCTCGATTGGTGGGATGGAGACAGAGAGACAGAGAGAGAGAGGTGGGCTTTAGACAGCAGATTGTACTGTGTGTGTGTGTGTGTGTGTGCGCGCGCGTGCACGCGCACGCATATGTATAGGTGCCCTCTCACTTGGTTAATTTTAAACAGTGTGTTGTACTACTTGTGTCCTCTTTTTGTTTGTTTTTCTATTCCAGGAGATGGCATTTTGGGTGCTGGCTCCTATGGTGGTGTTCCTGTCCTTTTCTCTAGAAATAATGGTCTAGTGTCTGTCACCTCAAGGGAAAGCATGTCCCTGTTGGCAGAGGACTTAGAAGAGTCTTTGGCGTCTTCCATTGCTGGACCCAGCAATGAGGTAATAAGGTTCCATAAGATTGCTTAACTGTTATTTTCTTTTTTTTTT